ACCACAGTCAGCTGGCTGGCAGTAACTGTCATACCAAACATCCATGTACAACTGGGGCCAAATGGAGTCACAACGCCAATATTAATTGCGTACCTCCTGTGTGAAATGGACGTTCTTGCCTATTGGATGGTACAAAATGCACAGCAACACGGCCATGGCACTTGTCACAAACTGCATTGGCAGTAAGCCAAACCAGGCGAGGTAGAAGCTCGAACATGAGCCACTGTTGACAAACCAGAGAAGGGCAGTTGATGCGACAATGAAAGCAAACACAGCTCCTTGCAGACGCAGCTGCACTCACACACAGCACAAAATTCGTTAGGATAGTGATCATCTGCCACATACTCTCACAGCAGATTGGGGCAAATGTCCTGGTCCCTATAACCAAGGCAAAACTGACAAGTGAGTTCCCCCTACTGGCATGCTGGTGCCAACAGGAATGAAAACTATTGTGAACTTGACTAGCAGCACAGAAAACTTAGGATGAAAACACTCCATTGCAGGTGCAGTTGCTACCACGTGACAGCCAGATTCCACGATTCTTTATGGAAGCCACGACACTGTGGCCAAGAATGAAGAGGGGCATGGGGCAAACTACATGACTGAGGCATGCATGACCACTGTGTCTGGAGGACATGGTGAACAGCTCAAACAAGAAATACCAAGTGCGTGCCGAAGGCACAGCAACCACGAGTCACTGGCAGCAGTCTGATTACACAAGGCAGCAGAGGGGAGTGCAGAGCAGCCCTCACCTGAAGTCGCACTGAAATGTTGCCCATTCGGTAAGGGGCATATGGCAGTGACTTGAGGTGCTTGTATGCTTGGCGAATGTAGTAGCAATACAGGCTGAGGTACAGCAACATACACAGGAAAACGCCAACTGTAATGTATCTCACAGACGTTGGAATAAAGCAGTCATTTCTGTCGCAATCTCCTTCCTCTGCAGATCAATGAAGATACACACAACATTCTCACCATTTGGAAGCTGTTGTTGAGACATAACTTGTGTTGCTGTGCAAACGATGCCACAGCCATTCGTAGGTTTGCATGAATAGCAAGGTTATTTCGTCAAACAACATGGACTATGTCACCTTCACCTTTCCCCATAGGTTTCCCATCGGGGAGAGGTGATGAAGGACACATCTTCCACCCACAAGCATGGCCAAGGAGTTCTCAAATTCAAGGACAAAGCACTCCAGCAAATGCTCAATCTCTGCCATGATGCAACTGGGCTCGAATTCTTGTGGAAGACGGAACATTTATGGTTCATACCAGATTTCACCATTTCTTCTGGTGCCAAGAGACAATCCAAATGAAATCCTCACTGCAAGGACACCCTCTTGTCATTTTCATCAACAGCAACTTCTAAACTTGTTCACTAATATTTGTATAGCCACAAGGCAAACTGCTGCATGAACCTCAGGTGCAAGCAGAGACACAGGTTAGGCATTTCCTATCTGCAGTTTTCCACCATTCTGATTTCCTGTTACTAGTGTTGCACACAGCAGACATTAGCAAGAAAAAATCGCAGCCTCAATCTGATCCTGGAGCTCCTTTCTCCATTATTAGCAGACTACAATTGATTTAGCACATGGGCCAGGTGCTTGTTTGTCCTAGCAGAGATTCGTACTTACCTACCCCTGGGAAGCCCACCCTTGCACGTATAGTGACAGCAATAACCAGGGATTCAAACACAAGCCTGCATGAAAACCACCAGGCCACGCTCACACAATATCATCAACAAATATCACAACTGTTTTCCTTCTCATGCCTGCACTAAGCAATTGGTATGCATCTGTTCTTTAGGCCAGCAGTTGACTGTCAATCCTTACCAGATGATGAGCTTGGGCCAATGAATTTTGGCTGGGCCATCCATTACAATGGCATCTTTCCTTCCGAACGCTGAGGGGCACACATGCACACATCAAATTTTCATCTGACGTTAAGGAAAAATGTGCAATAAACACAAGCCAAAGGAACAGTGCTGCACTAGGGAAGATAACACAGTTTAAGTCCAGTACTTTAAATTAAATAACCAAGCGACCTTGAGCATCACAATGACATCAATCATGGCTGGTGACCCTTACGCTTGTGGAACAAACGAGACCTTGTGAAGGCTGGCAATGATGAGCGCAACACAGAATGTAGTGGTGTCACTGTGGCACCATCATAAATTCCTAAGTTCATTGCTGCATGTTTGCCCTACACAGCTGTTTGCCAATACATTACACTGAGAGGCTGCCAGTATGGAGACACTTTCGCGAATATAGCAACAGGTTGCCTGTAAATCTGAACTGCTCACCGTTGCCGCCCTTGTAGAGGTTTGAGTTGTGTCCATAAATCACAAATACAAGGAAAATCTGTGAACATCCCACAAGCACAAATGTCAACAAGGGGACATTCCCAGTATCTGCAACGAGTCTGACTGCTAGATGTAGAATCTCTGGTCCCGTTTGACAGGAATTCGCAACAAATGGGTGTTTTATTCGCATACCATGGCTGTTGACTTTGGGAGGTGGCGCACCCTCCACAAACTTAGAAGACTAGTGTACAAATCAAATCAGCACCCTTGCGAGCTGGAAGGCGCCGCTCCACAGTCGCGATCTCTCTGAATCTATAAGTCTATAAGTCGATGAAATCCTCACCGTGTTCCAGCAAGTGTATCTAGCAAAGCCACTCCAGGCGATGAGCGGGTGGCCGAGGTTGCATGTGTCGACCAACACAAGAATATTTGGAGTAAGATAGAAAACCACGTTCAAAGCCTGGGAAACGATCACACAGAACGAAATCAGCACCAAGAAAATATTGGTGGTGTACTTTGGTGTATACCTTTTGCCTTTCTATTCTGTGCATGTTGAAATAGGCAAGGGCAACAGAGGTAAAAGCATGCAAGCTTGAGAGTTCTTGGCATTGCCATATTGTTTTCATCTATCTAGGTCCAGGAACGATTCTAGTGTGTTTCCTGTTACACTCTTTCTGACTAGGTTGCTCGGTTATGCAGACAAATTGCCGGGGCTGCTGAAACGCCTGCCACATTGCCTGAAATAGTGATATTGGGCAGAAGGTCCTGATTGGACTGAAATACATCGTTGTGCCACCACAACAACAATAGCTGCAACGACGTTGCCTATTCGATACTGAGCAACCCTGGTCATATCCAAATGTTCTGCTTCCACCACCAATGGTCCAAAGGCATACAAAGTCCTTGACAGCCAACAGCCTCCAGCAGCCTTGGATGTCTTGCACTGTTTGCATGCGTTGCCAAGCTATTGTTACTCCTGCAGGAATACAATTACCATTGCGTTTTAACGTATTTTTAAACATGGCGTTGAGACCTTAACTGCCCAGGTTTAACCACTAACTTCAGCACTAACCTGCATAACAAGTGTAGTTCCAACAAGTGAAGACACATATGCCCGCCTTTTCGACCTGCAAGACACAATGTCGAGCAAATTGGTGTCATACATTTGATTATCACCAAGCCAGCCTGCTGAACTAGACGTGCTGAATTGTGTAAAGAATGCGCACCCAGGAATGTGTCTTCATTCATATGTTTTTACACATACAGTTGCCAGATATATAGTATTGCTGCCATGATACTACAGATCAGTCTCAGCTTCACACTTCCACTGTCCTGCAATGACAAATCCTGGTGTCAAGTTGCAGCCTTCTTGCTGTGCAAATCCCAGCACATGTCATTACAGCGAGAAAAAATCTTATGCGCAAAAGGGTCATTATGTCGTTCACTGGCAGTTCACAAGGAGCACAGGTTTGCAAAATGAATAATGACAAAGGCAACTGCAGACAGCCAATGCAATTTGCTGTTCGATCCCAGGGAGGAATGTATTTTGCGTGTTCAAGCCATCCCAAGTTAAGTCACAGCTGGGTAAGCCCTTGTTACAACAGTTCAACACAGTTAATCCAGTTTCCAGTCTGTTTCAACAATATGGTTTTCTTGGGCTCCTGGTGGAAATTCGTCCAGCCCCTCCTGGGACAACCCAGCCCTCCTAATACAGCCCAAGGCGCTCACCATTTTTTCCCAGCCCTCCAGACTTGAACAACTCTCATGAAGAAAAATCCACAGGAGACAATTAGGGCCAACAGGCAGGCAGTGCCAACAGCAATATTCCACACCAACAGGGCCTCTCCATTCAGCAGGTCGTGGGCTTTTCTCATCTTGGCAGAGAATAGCAAGACCACTGTGACAGCGCCAAAGCCAATTGCGAAGTACAGGCCCACGATGACTTGCTGCATAGAGAACAGAATTGAGCTTAGATAGTGCTAGACATCAAGCAGAACGAGAGGGTTGCTAACATCCGATTGAAGAGGACAGGTGGAGGAATCGTTATTATGCAGCTGGAACTAAAAGGCTCCGGCTCCGCCACCACATCGCCATCGTCAATTACCACTGCTGTGCTAGTCAACACAGAGCATGTGGGGAAGAGCGCAATTGTGAGTCCCTTGTACTCGCAACACGAAAGAAAACAAAGGAATACTGCGCTGTCACAAACATGCCCACAGTCCAGGACGTTCCCGGCCAAGGGAACGCGGATTCAGGATTCTCCTCTTGTACTACCTGCTGACATATCGAGTCAATGTTTTGCAGACTCAGATTGCTATCAAACAGCCGACCCTCAACAGCAGCGACAGCGATTGTTTCAAACGTTTATCAATCAACGCAACGCTCCAGAAGAGCGCGCCTGGGGCCCTCCATTCGAACGCACACTGTCGCAAGTCCTTTCGGACCGCAAATTTCCCTGGTCAACCTCTCGACACACGCCACCAATTCCGCCACCAATTTCCAGCGAATATTTCCCGCCGCCCGTTTGAAGCGATACGAAAAGACAGTCCGGCACACTGCGCGTCGTCCACAACAGTCGCCGCCATACAGAAATGCGCGCCTGCACTGGACCCTTCCACAGACTTAGCACATCCCAACTTTCCCAGCCCCGCGTGCCCTGTGTCCTTGGCCATCGGCCATGCCTTTCTTGCGTCCTCACCCGCACGCGGTCATCGGGCAGCGTCTCAAGCTTAAGGATGCCGTGACTCTTGGGATCGTACATGCCGCCCCTCCCGTTGCCATCGGGAGTGGCGCCATCCTTGGATTTGTCGCCAGCTTCGACGAGGGCCAGCCCCTCTGAGGCTTCGATGCTCTCTGTCGATTCGACCGCGGCCGCTGCAAGTGCAGCCGGCGGCTCGTCAGGGCCGGCTGCGGTGTCCATTCCGGGGCATGGGCTGTGACCAGTCGCGGTTGCCGCACGCTGTTGTGTGTCCAGCTGCCACTCTGCAAGCTGTTCGTGCGACATCTGCGGACGGGCAATTACGTAATGTTTGTAGTACAGCCGTCAGGATCGCGCCCAGATTTATGGGACTGTTGCGACGATAATGGAGTGTTCATGAATACGTATTTTGCTCCTGCCAGAGCAAATTGTGAATGACGTTGGGCTGAGCTCCCTACCGGCCGCTGGGGTGCCCAGTGGATTATCCAACTCTGACACAACCCAGCTCAAATCCCATGACCTTAAACAACACCAGGTGTGTCTGAGGTCCTTAGAGTTGGATAAGGTCATCTAGATCCCCAACAGAATCAGTGAGCAATCAACTAGGGAAAAAGTGGAGTGATGTATATAAGATGCTTGTGCAGGTAAAGGACTGGGATTGTTGGGCCTTGAGTTTGCACACTGTTCGAGTGCCATGATGTTACAAACAGCTGACAAGCACCGACAGGAGGATGTCTACACTTAGGAACAGCAATATGACGTTCAGCCATATGCGCTCAATGAGAGTCACTAAGGACACAGCCACTATCACAACCCTGTCAATCGCCCAGGAGTTCTGAGCGTTCCGCTCCTGCACTTCTAACAACTTAGCTCATAGAAGCTCACAGGACAAGGAAAATCATCATAGCATGCAAATTCAAGCCCAACAGGACACTTAGGGTGTTGTCGAGCGCTGCCGAAGCGAGGCGCAACCCCAATGCTGAACTTCGTATTCAACTTCACCTTATCCGTTCACATACAATGAGAAACATGCAAAGGCTGAGCAGCTCGAAACGAGGCACAAGAAATCATGCTCAGACTGTGAAACAACGCTCCACACCTCGCTCAATAGCTCACTATAGCGAGCGTACTGATCAATCTTTAGATGTCGCAAACCAATGTTGTCGATGCTCGTTCCTTGCGGTCCAGTGCTGCGCTCCACTCACTCGCCAAGCAGCGGACGATGGTGACGAGCCGTTGAGTCAACGAAATCAGTGCCCAACGTGAGCGCACGAGGGTCAGTCGGTCAACGAGACGGGAGACAAGCTCGACCACGAGCTGTGGGTATGTGCAACGGAGCACAACCCAAAAGGCAACTGACCCGGAGGGTCAAGAGGCAAAGGCACACAGAATTGAACTTGCTCGTTACAAAGTCGCTCCCCTTCGACTGCGTTCGACCTCCACATGTTCACCGCACGACTATTCTCAACAGAACACCAGCCGTCCAGACCGTAAGAAACAAGAACGGACGGATGGGGGGGCGGAGAGAGAGGCACTCACAACCCAACCACCGCCACCTAAATATACCTACTGGCTCCAAAGGCACTACACTTGAGTGACCCTTGGATGGCTCAACAGACAACCTGAAAAAGGTCCAAGTACTTCCTTCAAACACAGACCATGTCTCTCAGAAGTTTCCACTGATTCTCTTCAAGTTAACCCTTTTCAAAGGGTCATACAATACAACCAACAAAATTACAGTCAAACACTACAACATCAATCAACAGCCATCAATGCCCCTTGGCAGTACTCCCATCAAAATATATTGTTGTACATCATCTTGCCACTCACGCTGTGAAGAACTAAATGTTGTAGGTTCCTGAAACATGAAATTAGGGGGAATCCCCCGATTCAAACAAAAAAGACATCTAATGCATTTTTCATCCCAAGTACACCCCACACCCCACAGTTCCATAATAGGCAGTGTCCCCCGGCTGGCTTATCCACTCTACCTCCTTCTCACCCATGTACGGTATAAGTGCCCCCAGGTGTACTCCCTGCATCATCCAGCTTCCTTCCGGCCCTGGCAGCTCCACCTCCCATTCAGCTGTTACGTAACTTTTCCATCGTGACGCAGCGACCACCCTCCAGCACGCTTGGGTGGCGCGCTCCAATATCCCAACCCGCAGCCCCCCGTCTTCCTCGGCGAGGCTGCCCACACACCCCTCTCCGGCCCACGCAAACAGCACGGGCGGGTCGTTTGGGCCGTCGCGCTTGGCGGCCACCCAAGCATCTTGCTCGGAGATGCTCCAAACACCCTCACCGCGCCAATTCGCGGCAAAGACGTTCCGCCGAAGCCGATCGCCCAACCGGATGTTGGGGATTGCCGCGACCCAGTAGGCTCGGATGGCAAACAACTGACCGTACACGTTCCTCACTCGCCACCGTGTCGTGGCATCAAAAGCTGATTGGAGCCAAAAGTGGGGCGTTCCGGGGCCGGAGGCCATGGCCCATGCCTGAGGCATGATGCCTCCGCTCCACTGAGCCCATTACGGTACGCGAGCACAACTTTGCCCGCTTTGTCCGGGCTGACCAAAGGCTCGCCCGGGCCCTTTCTTCCCTGTGTGCATGGGTCGACAAAAATCCCCAAAGGGAGAGAAAGTGCCGCTCTGCCATAGAGCATGGCGAAACCGGAGGGTCCGGTCGCACCGAGCGCGACCGCATTCGACCCGCCTGCGGAACATGAGGATGCTCCGGCCATGGCGAGGGAGGGCTTTTGATGCTCTCTGCATGGTCGGGGAGGCCGGGGCGTCGCAGCGCTAGAGGTGGCCACCCGGATCCGTTAATAGCGGACGGGGGCTGCCGTCCGCTAATATCCGTTAATTTAGCGGACCACGCCCTCTCTGTTGTTGATGTGGCACGGATGGCAGCAGATGGCTGGCCCCAATCATCGGGCTCTGTGGATTCCGCTTGGGTGTTAACGGATATTCTCTTACGGACCGGAAGCCACGTACCCCATCCGCTAATCTAGCGGATGACAGCGGACGTGTGTACTGAATCAGCGGATGACAACAGAGCCCAGGCAGTAAGTACTGATTTCCGAATGTGGGGATCGGGTTGATTGCCAGCGTGGCTCAGCCAGGGTCCACATACAGCAGACGTTGGCTGTGACTGCACACATATTTTGTTGCCCTCCTGTTGCCATCCGCCGTCTCCAACCCCTGCCGCCCCACGCTTGGGTCATGGACCCACCAGGTGAGGCATACCGCAGCACAGGCAAGGCAAGCCGCAACATAGGCAAGGCAAGGGGACGCCATTAGTACCGCCACCATGGCGGGAAATGCCGGGCCGCGCGGGGGAAGGGGGGTCTCGGATGATCTGTTGGCTGAAAACCTGTGTGTGGCCGGATTCAATCCGCCGGTGATGCACAGGCACAGCGCGCTATCCTGTTTTGTGGCCAGGGCAATGCCCTCAGTACCGCCTGCTGTGGCGGGAAATTCCGGGCCGTGGGGGGTGTTGGGGGGGGTCTCGGATGATCTGTTGGCCGAAAACCTACGTGTGGCCGGATTCAATTCGCCGGTGATGAGCAGGCATAGTGCGCAATCCTGTTTTGTGGCGAGGGCAATGCCCTCAGTACCGTCTACTGTGGCGGGAAATTCCGGGCCGTGGGGGGTGTTGGGGGGGGTCTCGGATGATCTGTTGGCCGAAAACCTATGTGTGGCCGGATGCCATCCGCCGGTGATGCACAGGCACAGCGCGCTATCCTGCTTTGTGGCCAGGGCAATGCCCTCAGTACCGCCTGCTGTGGCGGGAAATTCCGGGCCGTGGAGGGTGGCACATGGCCACCAACCTGGTGGCACATGGCCGGGTGGGAAGATCATGGCCGGGGATTGACTTCACTCCGGGATTTTGCCTGCGACCCTCACCACCTGTGTTACTGTATTCGCAGAGTCCTCAGGCGCTACCAATGCTGAAACGGAAAGCAGGCAGGGGTGCCTTGAACACGATGGACGTGTAGGTGCGGTGGACGTGTACCTCTGTGCAGCAAGCCTGAGTGCCGCCTATTATGGCTGTGTGCTGTGGTTGGTGGCAGTACCCGCCGCCACATGGCTGGGGAAACCTTGGCAGTTCGTTCCTTCCATGTGGCCATGCATTGCACAGGGTGCACCACTTGTCGCTGCAATACACATCGTCTTTGCTTAGATGCCACCAGCATTATTTGGCAGTACCCGCTGCCACCTGGCTGGGGAAATCTTACCACTTTGTTACTTTTGTTTGCCTGCACACTGTACGGGGTGTGTTATGTGTCGCTGCAATACCCATCGCCTTTTTTTTCCTTACGTGTCACCACCATTTTGTGGCAGTACCCGTCGTCCCCTGGCTGGGGAACCCTAGCAATTCGTTCCCTTTATGTGGCCGTGCATTGTACAGGGTGTGTTGCACGCCCTGCAATACCCAACGCCTTTCTTTGCTTAGATGCCACCACCAATATGTGGCAGCACCTAGCATCAGCTGCCTGGGGAAGCCTTCCCATTTTGCTCCTTTTATTTCGCTGTGCATTGTACAGGGTGTGCTGTATGTCCTTGCAGTACCCATCGCCTATTTTTCCTTATGTGGCATGACCATTTTGTGGCAGTACCCGCCGTCACCTGGCTGGGGAAACCTTGGTAGTTCGTTCCTTCCATGCAGCCATGCAATGTACAACATGCACGAACTGTCCCTGCAATACCCATCGTCTTTCTTTGCGTAGGTGCCACCACCATTATTTGGCAGAACCCGCCGTCACCTGGCTAAGGAAACCTCAGCACTTCGTCCCTTTCAGGGGGCCGTGCATTGTACAGGGCGTGCTGCATTTCCCTACAATACCTATTGTCTTTGCTTTGGTGGTACCACCAGTATGTGGCAGTACCTGCCGTCACCTGGCTGGGGAAACACTGTATTCTGTTCCTATGTTAGGTCGGAAGCGGCCCCTGAACAAGGGCCAACGTTACAAGGATGGTCGAAAGCGCTGGCACAGACACAAGAGGAAGGGGGGAAGGAGACGTGCAGGGGTGAAAGTCAGGCGGCGGATAGAAGCTGCGCGTGGTTGGGAAGCTGAGCGCGATAGGGAAGCTCTAACAGATAGATTAGAGGAAATACAAGAAGCGGGGTTGGGTGGCCTGCCCTCGGGGGTGTGGCGGCCCATATAGGACCACCTCGCCCCCAAGGACCAGGCCCGATTAGTCACCGTAAGCGGATACATT